TCATCCCATGCTAACCAAAATCCAATACCTCGATCCAACCAATCACCACCGGGGTATCACTCGCGCTGACATACGGGCCTCACCCAAAGGTCTCACCCAGTCGAGAACTAACCATTTCTTGAAGATGAGAACTTAAAAACTATCGATCTTACACTCATGACCGACCCAATTCCTTACTACCTCAAAACCATGCACACCCCTACACATCTTGCATTCAAACCCTACACGTCGACCTCGCGGATTCCTTAAATTCTCGTTGATACTACTAAAGATCTGATCGGCTGCTAATCTCCTAAGTAGAGTATTCAATCCTCTTCTATACACGGCCCACGGTATGCAAAATGACATATAATAACTTTCTGGATAAATTAACTATATTACTCATACAGGTGCTTCCATTCTTAAATAATCAGCGCATAACGTTTCACATATACACCAACATGGAATTATAAGCATAAAGACTAAAGCATGAAAGAGAAGAATACGATACATACCCGTAGCGTCTCAGGATTCTGCTCCCCCTTCCTATCGAAGCACCTGCGATGGAACCCGAGCTGCTCCAACCACTAAGCGTGGGCAATTTTCCCTGATATAACCAGGCTGATGACAACGATGCCACAATTCTACCTCCAGGGTACATTCTTGGCGAAGGTGGCACTTCCATCTACACCTACCACATTTGGACTTGATGCGCACACGCTCATGTATTCCTTCATCCTTTGCATAAACATTGTGGCCCCTCGGGCTTCTAACGCTAAACATGGCAACATTCAACTGATCAGATGTTGCTAGCAAAGTCGGACCATGAGTCTGCTTCCTCTTCCCCATTCGCCTCTCCAAACCAATCTCCTTCTCCTGAGTCACCTCGACCATCTCATAAATTGCCTGAACAGTCAAGAGCTGATCCCCAAAACCTGGAGACCAGTCTATCAGTGACACGACCAATAATGTCAGGTAACTCCTCGTGTATGGCATGCGAAACCTCAGTGGCAATCCAGTCATGGAATCGATCCCCTGGAATGCATGATGTATTAACCACCTTCGATCCCTCAAGAAAATGGATAACAATAAGATTATCCTCCCTGGAAGATTCTAGGGCTCCACAAGCCTTGAGCTCCCGATGAGCCCCCAACTGTCCTGTTGCAATCCCGACCTTAAAAGCCCTGACGCGATCATCCAATAACTCCATGATCCCCTCCTTGACCGTACCAAAGATCATCGGAATCTGCTCCAAAATACTGTGGGTAATCTCCAACGAGATGAACTCCAGCATCCGCTCATCAATCGGCTCGGTACCTGCACCAGAGCCTGAACCAGAACTTGAACCTCCTCCACTAGTGCTCATCACCATTCTAAAAACCATCATACAATCGATCGGCACATACCCAAAATCTTCATCCCACAGGTTTCCTAGATTCTCCAAGACTCTCCTCAGTTCGAGTATGGATTTTGTACTTTTAGTAGTACGGACCCAATACTACCTTCCACACCTACCCATACTCTCCTCAAGAATTACCTTGAATCCTCCAGTTCACTTTCTCAAACTGGTACTCCAAGTACTTGTAAAACAACACAACTAAGCCCACTGAAGCACTTCTTAGGCATCCTTAGGTTTCCGACCTTACCTTGCCATCAGATGCTGAAGAACTCCCACTAATACCAGTTAACTGCCTCATTAACATAATCACATTCCATAGAGATTAGATAATCCTTCGAGTAACAGACTCAACCCTACAACAGTTAGACACAAACGAGAGCTACAGAATAGAGTTAAATCCATCACTCTGAGATTATTTAATCTTTACAACATGTGACTCGACATATTCACTCAATAGTTAACGCATATCACTAAGAGTTCCACAAATCACAAAGCAAACAACATACGTGCAATAACACTCCAGCCATAGAATAACCAAAGAACATACAACTCATGCTAGGAACTTCCACTCTCGCTGTCGGTTGCCTCATGCATGCAAATTATACACAATACAAGATCAAATAGACTACCGAATAAAAGACTCTATCCTAGGACCATAACCAAACGAGGAACATGAAATAAGGCCAAATCAATCATTCTAAGGCTATGTGATCCTAACTGTATACAATTTTTAAAGCATACACTTAGCAATTTCTAATTCCAATGCATATTCCCACTCATGGCATCCAATGCTTCCGAGGTTACAAGGCATCACTTATCAGGCCATTCTATCATGCAATTCCTGAAAGTATCCCTAGCCATATCCTAGCATGCAAACATTCATATCATATAACATATCAACATGTATGGGTATCTTGGGAATCACTTACTTAAGCTAGGTCGATTGCATGCACCACACCCTTTTTTCTTTTATTAGAAAACCCTTTTTATAAAACACTTCTTCTCGAAAATCCTACCAAACCTTCAGTTTGATTTCAGACACACCTGAGAGTATGTCTGAATCCCTCAAACTAAGGCTCTGAAACCAACTAATAACGTCCCAAAAAAAGTTAAGACCAAAAGTTTTGATTTTTATATTAATAAACCATCAATCCAATCCATATCTTTCAACCATATTGAAAATCAGAGTGTGTCAAATAATATCCAAGTACATCAGAGTAATATAAAACGTGGAACAATATGGTGTGTGCATTACAGTCATTCCGAGCTCTTCCCTTTGAAACCAAAAGTACTTAAAACATAAATTAAAAACCGTAAACACAAAGCTTAGTGAGTTCCCCAAAATATCGCATACCACATATATATACAAATATAACAGCACGTGGTTGTGTCGAGTCTGTATCAACCCACGGGTCCGTATCAACCCGAGTCCCTGTGAAACCAAAGGTGTCGCGTTCCTTTTCCCTAGTACGCCCCGCGTACTAGGCTTAGCCTTAAACCCACCAACTTTAGAAGGCCATAACTTCTTCGTTTTAAATCCGATTTCGACGATCCTTATATCCTCAGAAAGGTAGTGAGAGGCTCTACACTTCTAAGAACTCTTCCTTGCCTTAAAACTTCCCGAACTAAAATTCAAAATTCATAAAGGTCCAAACTTGCCAATTTACGTTTATCCCCTTGGGCTACAAATCACAAACCGAACTCCTGAATCGTCTAACTTACATTACCCACACCCAAAGGGTCTAAATCTCTCTTTCCCAAAGGACCTAAGCCTTATGATAACCGATCTTCGGGTCACGGCCCCGAATTAGGAAACGATTCGGAACATGGTGTTACATCGTATGCTGCGATACGATCCCGATTTATCGAAATTCTATGCTTCTTCTCGGCATTTGAACTTTCGCCTCTTTGTCGCGCCCTTTTGCGTGCCGCAGACAACAACGTGTACAACACCAAGTCATCATCATCATCAGATGAAGAAGAAATCGAACCCGCACAATTATTCATATTTATGTTTGAAAGTGTGTTTGAAAGAATGTTTGAAAATATGTTTGTTTAAATTTAGAATGTATGTATTTATATATATGTTTACTTTTAGTTTGAAATTTTTTTTTTCAATAAATAACGTTCAAAAGGAAAAAGGAGGAAAACGGTCAAAAAAAGTCATCAACCAATCAGCTTCTCCGTCTTTGCCCGTAACTGCATCCACGCCACAAGACACCTACGCACACCTGGGGCAGTGTTCACGCGTAGGATGCCTTGCCACCTCAGTACGCGTCTTCTGATGCATCCATACCACTAAGCCTGATATTACAAAATTGACCAAATAATTATTGAAAATTAGTGTAAATAACCCAACTTTTTTAGTTTACCGAAATGACTGCTATTTCCAAAATCGAGTATTGGAAGTATATAATCTGGTCTCATTAAGACCAAACTCTTGCAAAAAAAATTATACCTAACCTCTTAAATTTGAAATGTTACTTCTCCGGATTTTACAACCACAAAACTCTCTTGAAAACAGCATTTGAGCCATGAATTAGGCATGTGCACATTTGAGCCAAGGATTAAACACAAATAGCTATTTTGGAATTCGAAAAAAAGCCTTAAAATTTTGAAGAATAACTCTGAAATATATATTTCTTTTGTCCGAAAAATTGTTTTTTTTTTTTTTTTTTTTTTTTTTTTGTATGAGATGTAGAATTTGCTTTTGATATGACACGAATCTAGCTCGAAACAAAGTCAATTTAGCCCGAAATGCAATTTTTCAGAGATGGTGATCAAATTGGATACTCCCATAAAGTTGGATTAATTATCTACATTTTCAGTAATCACGTTGTCCTTTTATGATTATCCGTAATAATAGTTTATTTCTTTTTTAATATAAAGAATTTAAATTGTGTTAAACCTTAAGGATAGTTAAAGTAGTCTTTTTCAATCTAAATATCTAATGGATGCATCGTTCTACAACTAATAAGATTTTGGAAAGCCAGAGATATTGAAAACGACGTGTGTGGGCCAACATCAATCTCCTGTACGGCATGCATAGCAGCATGTTCCGGCATGTGAAGGTTTACACAATTTACAGCTTTACATGTTGTTGACATGGGCTTTTAGGCCCACTAGCCATTAATTTTCATCCACTACTACCATAAACTAAAGGTGCATGAACGCTTTTTTTCATTTGCATCGTTTTCTTGTGATACACTGAACTTCAGAACTTATTTAACGATTATTAACTTCGGAATATCTCTTGACTCTTGATAATAAAACAAGCTAATATATACAATGAATCTGTTTATAACAATAACACACATGATATCATGATATGCATGCATTATATATATATATATATATATATATATATATATATATATATATATATATATATATATATATATATATATATATATATATGTGTAGCATTAATTTTTCATTTTTAAAATTATAGACCCCCATGGCTTAAAAAAAACAATAAACAACACTATCTGAACAGTCAATATGAGAGGCCAATCACGAAACACTAATAATATTTTGGGTATGTCATAGTTTAAATCTTGGACCTACTATATGAAATTACATTCATCAACCACTATATTATTTCATCGTGAGGACATCCCCCATGGCTTATGAGGTTATGAGAGATGATCAAAGGTCAAAGTTTTAGCAGTTGTAACGTAAGAGTTTTAATTCAATAGAAATCAAACTCATACGAACAATATATATTAGTGTTGGAAGTGAATGTATATCTTATTTACATCTTTCTATACAATAGTCGCTTTTATAGAATTATGTAAAATGCATAGAAATAAAAGAAAAATCATAGCAAAAATGATTTGGGACACACACCAAACAATTTGAAATCTTCACATGTATGTAAATTCCAAACAACATACAAAAAGATGTGAGAATCTAAGGATTAGATCTTGTTCTTGGGACCAAAGTCATTGGTTGTGATGTATAGGCAGTTACAAAATGGTTGGACAGTTACAAAATAGTAGGTCCGAATAAACCATGGTTATTAGATGAGGTTGTGATCGAATTCTTAGTCATATTTTCTTTGGTTCTCATCTAATCCATAGGCTGTAATCAAGTTCTTAGTAACAAATCATGGTTGTCGGATGAATTTGATCTAGTTCTCAAATTATTACAGCTGCATGATGGATTGAATTCAATGGTCCAATTTCATTCTTACAATCCTACGCTTTTTAACATATTTCGAGTTTTAGAATAAGTTTTACCTTAAAAGTCATTTTCAATTGAAGAAACATTGGTTTGAAGATTGAGTTAGTATAAGGATTGAGGTTTTCATTTCAGACATCAATTTTTAACGAAATATTATTTAATGTATAAAAATAACCATGATCAATATCACCACCACTTTCTAACCGAGTTGAACCAAACCTAGTCAAAGATAAAACCAGGTTCAACCAAAAAAACATACATAAAATTTGGACATGAAAAGACCTAACCCAAGTCCATCATTCCTTTTTTTTTTTTTTTTGACCAAAACCAACTTATACTTGGAGCAAGCGTGATATGTAAGTGTGAAAGAGAAAATATCTATTTATAATAAAAAACTCATCTCCTTTTTTTTTCATGGAGTAGATGAGACTTTTTCATGCCATAAAATGTGACATGTCTTCTATGGTTCTATAGTTTTTATTTTTCCTTCATTTTTTTTTTTTTGCCAAACAAATACATTAAGATAGTAAATGAGATTGTGTATAACTTTCAAAAATTTTAAATATCATCTTACTGCTACAAAACACATACACATATAAAATACCTATTTACACATTCCTCAGATTCTGAACAAGGTTTTTATTTGTTTCGGGCATCGTTTTATTTATTTTTTTAACTACATGATGGATAATCACGAAACAAACATGGACATTAAAATTATAAACAACCTATACCACATTCTCTAAAATATAGGGACCCCATAAACGTTAGGTTAATTTTGTATATCGTATCAAAATAACACATTTTGGATTGCATAGTCATTTTCATAAATGGGACACGATCTTTTATATATATATATATATATATATATATATATAGTTAAGTTCAATTGAGAAAATAAAAAAGGTTGAGAATGGGGGAATCGTTCCCAGCCACTCATTTATTTTTGCCGCAAAAACCTTTGTTGTACTAGCGGAAATGGATAAGGAATACACATGTGTTTCCAACAAAACATGTTTCTTTAAACTATGCTAATCATTACCTTAATATATACAAAAACATAGTTTTTTTTGTTTTTTTAATTTTTAAGAAGCTATTTATATCGAAAAAGGATTTTAAATATACCAAAATTCATGATTTTTTATTCTCTACAAATAGACATCCATATTGATATACTTTTAAGATAAAATAAAAAAAAAAATTATATTTTCAGCTATCGTTATTCATAAGTGAATAAAAATGCATCAGATTTTTGCTACAGTACATTCGTTATTCACTTATGAATAAAATATATAATTAATTTTTTTTACAGTTTAAGTATCATTTATACTACATATTCATATATGAATAACAAATTAACTGTAACAAAAATCTGATAAATATTTTATTCATATATGAATATAAAATATGACGACAACTAATACACGTTTTATTCATATATAAATATAATATATGATGAAAGATGATGTAAAAAATATATTTTAAGTAAGAAAACTTTATTGCGTGTCATATTCATATATGAACGATACTTAAACTATAAAAAAAAGTTACGCATACGTTTTATTCATAAGTGAATAACGAATATACTGTAATAAAAATCTGATAGATTTTTTTATTCACTTATGAATAACGAGAGCTGAAACTCTAAAAAAAATAAATTTTTTATTTTATCTTAAAAGTATATCAATATGGATGTTTATTTATAGAGAATAAAAACTTATGAATTTTGATATATTTAAAATAATTTTTCGATAATAATGGCTTTCTAAAAATAAAAAAACGAAAAAAAAATATGTTTTTGTGTATATTAAGGTAATGATTAGCATAGTTTAAGGAAACATGTTTGGTTGAAAAACACATGTTTATCCGTTATCCATTTCCGACGGTACGCCTAAGTGTTTTGCGGCAAAATAAACGTGTGGCTGACAATGATTTCTCCATTCTCAACATTTTTTTTTCTCAATTGAACCTTCCTATATATATATATATATATATATATATATATATATATATATATATATATATATATATATATATATATGGATTTTCTAATATGTGCCCTTAGGGCACATATAACAAGCATTAATTGATGATATATATTACCATAATTAATTATAAAATACATTAATTATAAGAAATATTACCATAATTAAATGTGAAGTGCATTAATAATCTCCATAATAAATGTATTTTGAATTTAATTATGGTAATATTTTTCATAATTAATACTTCTTATATGTGCCCTTAGGGCACATATTAGAAAATCCCATATATATATATATATATATATATATATATATATATATATCCTCTCTAATAAATGAAGGTTTTTTTTGCCATTTGTCAATTTATCATGAGTTTTGACACTTGTCATTTTGTGGTATTTTTGAAATAAATATTATCCATTTGTCAATTTCTGATTTGTTTCAATTTTTAAAATTAAAGTTATATATTTATATATGTAAGGTATTAAATATACTATATATAAAATTAAATTGCAATTAATATGTTTATTCCTTTCTTATTTTAAAGTTTTACATTAAAATATGTTTCCAGCTTACATTTTAATGTTTAGTTTTTTTTAAAAAAATTAATCCGTATAATATACGACTCTCACACCTAGTATATATATAAAATCCTTGAAAATTCATTTTGTCAATTTCGTAAAAATCCTTTTATATATTGGTACCAATCTTTTAAAAAGGAGCACGACGATTTGTACTATTTAATAGAGTGCCGTCATCATCAGCCATTATCACTTTATCAGCAATACCCCACCCACCCCCTTCTTCCGCTCCACTTACACACACCCCCCACTCCCAGCTTCTTTCTTGCTGGAAATTCTTAAAATCCCATCTCAATTCAACAATTCCAACCACAATCCGCTTCAAAGTACGTATTTTCTCCCTATCTTCATTGCTTTTTACTGTAATCTATACTGTTTCAAGTGATTATCTGCTTAATTCGATCTGTTCTAGATCTCACCGTAAATTTCCATCGATTAATCGGTGAATGTTTTCTTGAAATACTCAAAGCTGAATCTATAACTTCGGTATTCGATTTCGTTTCGCGATGTATGATTGCATAATAATCAACGCAATCGTAATCAAAAAGGTGCCAGGAATCGTACCTTTTGTTAGGGTTTCTTCTAATCTTCTTCCCTATCTGACCAATCTGAACACCAGATTCATCTGAAAGATTCTTAGTTTGCAGAAAAAACATTCAATTGTTAGTCATTTTGCTTGATAAACTAGAAGTAATGATTCTGACGACTTTTTTTTAGGTTAAACAACGAAATGGGGCTCTCGCCATACTCAAACCCATCGGATGCAGGAGTGTTGTGCGTAATTCTGGTTAACACAGCGATGTCGATATCAATCATGAAGGAAATAGTTTGTTCGATTCTTCACGTGGTGGGGTTACGTGTAGCGTCATCATCATCATCATCCAATCAAGGCTCACCGGAAGCTTCTGAGTGCCGGGGAAGTCCGTCGGAGACGTACATGGAGGAGTTCAGAAGCCGGACGCCGTCGCTCCGTTACATCTCCCTCCGTCGGGCCACCAAACAAGAATGCTCCGTTTGCTTAACGGAGTTTAAACCAGATTCAGAGATAAATAAGCTTTCGTGTGGGCATGTTTTTCATAAATCGTGCCTTGAAAAATGGCTAAAATGCTGGAACATTACCTGCCCTCTGTGTAGAAACCACATGATGATTTCTAAAGAAATGGAAGAAAACAACACTTGCCCGATGTGAAGAATTGCAATCAAACTTACACTTTTTGTAGATATCATCAATTGTGTAAGGTTTCCGGTGGTTTATTCATCTGAGAAACTGAAAAACTTTGGTTATTTTTTTCTCGTTTATCGAGTTTTCTTTGACGAAACAGATATATTCTGTTTCTTTCACTATTTATGCCACAATATTGAATGATCATCCCATATCTTAATTCAAGTTTCTAGATTTTTTTTTTACCTAGTGTTACAAATAATATAATGTTGTTTCATACAATAGTTTTCCGAATTTTTATCATATTGCTCTTTATGCTTTTTTATCACTTTTTCAAGTACTTTTTTGCGAATAAAATCAAGCCACCAATGGCAGAATCTTTAACTACCCTTGTGTATACATAACAAGTTTTCTAGAATTATTTCCCTCTTTTAATTTAAAACCGGAATGAGAAAAGAGATTTATGTATTTGCATAGAACAAAACTTTTTACTTTTAAAAGAGATTCTTTATCGCACTTTGTTCCACTTTTTGGGATTTCACAAAAAATTATAATTTGTGTCCTTGTAACATCAGTCTCCTATATGCCAAACATAGTAAAATAACAAATTAACTTAGTGTAATAGTTATGATACCATGTATTGATAACACTAGTTTGTCAAAATGGGAAATGGGATAATGCATATACTAGAAGCTAATTGCAAAATTTTCATTTCACTACATTAGAACTTGAGATAAAATATACAAGTAAACATGGTTTTCCTCCAAACCTCTTTATGAAAGATTTACAATCCCCTCTAAAATTAGTTAAAATCACCTCACATTTTTTCAACACTCTATGTGAAACGACACATGACACAACTAGACCAGTCAAATTTTTCATTCATGTCTTTTGCACAGACAAGAGATCGATAAAAAGTCTGTCCCACCTTTTTAGGTGGAACAACAATTGCAGCAATTTTTGTCCCATTGACATCAGTCCAAAGTCTAAACACAGTACAACTTGTTATGTCTTGCATAACAAGTAACAACCACAGCCTAAAGAATACCTCAAATACTTCTTCAAACGGTAATTTCAATGCTATTAACTTGATGAAGAAGAAGAAGAAGCCCTTATTTGGATCTCACTCATACCAACTTCCATACTTCTTTGAACCATATCTTGCAACAAACTTTTAGCAGTTTCTACAGTTTTATCCGATCCATCAACCCTTGATGCAATATCATGAACAATCTTCTCAACAACAGATGAACTCAATCTCTTTTCTGAAGAAGACTCTCTAAGTAAATCCAAAAGTGTCCTAGCTTTCTCTTGTGCTTCTTCACTTCCATAAACAGTTAACCTCAACAACCCAGGAATCGCACCTTCATTCAATATAAGTTCCCTGTATTTACTTCTACAGCTTACACACATTGTAAGCAAAGTAGTAACCGCATGTTCTGTGCTTACTAAAGATCCATCTTCAATCGTTTCCACTAATGTTAAAATCCCATCTTGAGTGTTTGTAATCGCGGATTTCCCTTCTTCAGATTGTGAGATGATTTGGATTAAAGATGTGGTTTTTTCAGCGAATTTGGAGGATTTTTTGCATTCTTTTAAGAGGTTGATGAGAGGGGGGATGGCTTTAGCATCGGGGATTAATGGTGGTTGTTGCGAGGTTAAGAGGTTGTGGAGGGCGGTGACTGAGTCGACTCGGCCTTGAACGGTTCCACAGCTGAGGATTTGGATGAGTAGTGGGATAACTCCAGAGTCTATTATGGTCTTTTTGTTTGGTGAGGCTGTTGATAGTGTTAGAATTGAAGCAGTGGCTAGTTCGCGTAAGGTGTTGGTGTTTTGGAATTTGAGAAGTTCCACAAGAGGAGGGATAGCACCACATGTCACTATTTGTTCTTTGTTTCTGAAATTCAATGGGGATTTTTCAAGTTTAATACACAAACAAGCAATCTACTGATTACTGACCATAACAGATACAATTCATCAAAAGAGAAGAAGTTGGAATCTAGCATTCAGTGAAAGAGTAAGCTAGATTGTTGTGATTGAGCAGAAAACCATTGCATATTATGAAAACAGGTTTTAGTAAAGGTTGTATTCATCTATTTCTACAATAATAGCTTGATGAAGCTAGTAATCTTTCATGACCTAATCCACAGACTACATTCAACTTGATTGACAGAAAAACCCTAACATGTGAGTACCAGAGAAACTATTATCCCAATTGTTAGCACTAAAACAGAATTAGCAGACACCAAAACATCACAATCGCTTCAAATTTGAGACCAACACACACCTTCGCAGCACAAAGTGTTGATATCAATTGCAACTTAACCAGACAATAATAAATCGTGAAGTTAAAAGAAGAACCTCTCTGACCTGGTTAATTTTTTCTAAAACCCTAAAACGAGCAGACGTTGAGATAATACAAACAGCTATTGGGAGGCTTGTATGGAGATAAACACACATGTGATGTAGAGATGAAATTCTAACCGTTCGTTTCTGGAGGCGAGATTGAGGAGTGCAAGTAAGGAAACTTCGCGTGCATCGTGGTTTCTGGAGTAGAGCATGAGAACGAGAGGCTGAATAACGCCGGCAGCAGCGAGCTTAGTACGAATCTTGTCGGAGGAATTTCTGTTTCGAATCATGCTCCGAATCTCCCTTGCGGCGTGAATCTTGGTGAGGAGATCGCCGTTGATGATCTTACCGGAGATTTCATCGATTAGTGTTTGTTTCTTGTGATGGAATAGCCCTGGCCCATCTTCCTCTCCCATCTCTCTATCTCTGTCTCTCTCTCTCCTCTCTCTTCTCTCTATCTTCTTTCTGGTTTCTCTCTGGGAATCGATTCAGCTTCGGACCATGGGATTTTCACTCCACGGCTATCCCGGTCACCACTACTTTCATATATCCTTACTTTCCCTAATTTAATAATTCTTACAACATAACTTTCTAACTAAAAAAATAACATACTTTTGTTATCTTAATAAATTTTATTATATAAGTTTTTTACCCTTATAATATAATAAAAATATTATTTAGATCATTTTACATTAAATTAATTACACTATTTTTTATATTTTTGCTTTCAATGGAGTTGATAGGAATTAAACATGCCGCATAAATTTTACATGAAAAATGTAACGATTTGGAGTGTTACGTTTTATTTTATTCTATAAATCATTTGTTTGCTTTAGTGGTTTCATATAGATGATATGATAGAATTTAATGAATCAAATACACTAATTAAGTTTAAATAAACTTCAATTAGTAAATTATGAGTAGTTAAATGATGACATTGTATGTAATTATACAATGGAGTTGTTAATTTTTCGGAAGGATAAGGGAAAGCTTGTATGACAATAAAAACTATATTGTTAAGATGAGTATATAGTGGATCGAGTTGGTGGCCATAGTTTCATTTGGTTTATGAGAGCTTCATTGCTCATTATAGATGACTTTTAATGTGAGATTCATTGCTCATCATTGATGAGAGCAATATTGCTTGTTATAGATGATGTTCGATGAGAGCTTTATTGCTCATAGTAGATGACTTTCAATGGAAAGCATAATTGCTTATTTGATGAAACAATGGCAATGTATAAACCCTATGTTACTCGCTAGACTTTTTATTTTAATGCATTATTTAGCATGTGGTATTAATATATCATTACAAACTTTGGCTAAAAAGATATCAACACGTTGTTCATCTTTGAAAGATATGGTATTGGTTATTCATGTTAAGATTACCTTTGATTATGAATGATATGTTCCCTCGTGTAAAATTATTTTTAATATAATAATTTATTTCTAAAAGTTTGATTATTTTAGGACTTTTATTTTTCAAAAGGGTTATTGACATAAGCACATCAAAGTTTGATGTTTGGTTTTAAATGACCATTTAACTTTTTCTTGGATCTATAATACAATTAAACTCAAATTTTACCTGTCTAAAATACCATTTTGATAAAAATTACCCGGTTTCCCAATTACATTGCTCATTTACACATTGACTTCTAATAGTCAAACATTTCTGAAGCCAATGGAATTAGATCCACCGCCAATTGTTAAATTGATCGGTGTTGCTATGATCTCCGCGGAAAGGATTCAATCCGACGAACTTATTGGAGATTGGTTCCCAATTATTGGTACATCTGGTAAACAACCAAAACCTAATTGAGCGACACGATTACAACTCCAATTTACCTCTTGTGAAAAGAAGAATGAAACATCAACCGATGGCGAGGAGTTCTTTTGCTTGAAGGATAGTTATTTCTAGTGAAAAATGATGGGATTATGACTCTGTATTAGGATGTTCACACAATGGAAGGTATGTTACCAGAAGTTGATCTGGACGGGGTAGAAGATGGTGGAGAGTGTAGTTTCTTTAAGTATAGAGGGTGTTGGAAGGATATTTTCCATGCTATATTAGAGGTGCATCATCTGGTTTACATTGTTGGTTGGTTAATTTACGATAACGTGAAGCTGATCAGAGAGCCAAACGTGTCACTGCCAAATGGTGGAGATTTGACTCTTGGTGAGTTGTTGAAGTATAAATCAGAAGAAGGCATGAGGATGATAATCATTCAAGATGGGGCATACCAGCACATAAACGTTTTGATTGGAAGGAAGTGGATGGTGGAGTCAACGAAATAAGTGTTTACCATGTTTCTCGATGTAGATGCTGACAATAACACCACAATAGATGATCTCGAGTGGGAATTATTCCTAAATTCTCATAATCTTGAAGCAAATACCATTACGACAAAGGCCAATAACTATAATGAGTGGGAGGTTTTCTAGAATGTTAACAATCTTAAAGCAAATTGTAACATCCCAAGTTTCAGAAGTATGATTTAAGGGTTAAAGTGTAATTTTGAAGCAGGGACTCGACGAGTAGGTACGCTTACTCGCCGAGTCGGAGCGGGTCTTGGGTCGCGAATTAAGTGACCAACTCGCCGAGTCGGAAGCTGGACTCGACGAGTTGGTGCTGGAATGAGAAAACCCTAATCTCGGGGGTTGCACCCTATTTAAAGGACTTTATGTCCTTCTCTCAGCCTCCGTATTGCCCTTGAGAACTAGAAAACCCTAAGCTCGTGTGTGTGAGGCTTTTGGAGGGAGATTGAAGCTTTGGAAGTTGTTTCTAGTGGAAGAAACTTGAAGATCAAAAGGGCTTACATCAAGAGAGTGGTGTAGATCCAGAATCTACTGCAGTTTGGGCACATTTTTTGGAGGTAACAAGCTGTTACCTTGACTCTATTGCATTTATATCTATTCAAGAATGAGATTTTGGGCCCTTTTTGCATGTTAAGGATCTATTTTGGGTTAGGGGTCTAGATCTGAGGTTGCTACTTCAGATCTAGACTTGTCTTGGTCCAGAAACTCACAAAGTATCAGCCTTTGGCTTGTTGGTGAAGCGTCATTGTCTTAAACCTTAGCCATAGAGTGATTTGGGCTTATAGCTCCTTGGTTTTACGTAAAGTTTGCAACTTTACGTGGGAGTTATGCCCTAGAAGAGTGGATCTACAGTTTGGAGCCCCTGCATGACTCGAAAAGCCTCTGTATGAATAAAGGACTGAAGGGACTCGGCGAGTCTGTTCTTGGACTTGGCGAGCCTGTTGAAGATAGGCATGGCCTCGACGAGTTGGAGGAACAACTCGGCGAGTCTGTTGAAGATTGTCGTGGACTCGACGAGTCTGTTCTTGGACTCGGCGAGTCAGAACGCAAAACCCCAACCTCTTCTGGTTAAGACTCAGATCAGCGAGTTGAGTGGGGTGACTCGGCGAGTCGAGTCGTGATATGAGAGTTTTCTGAGTTAGGAACTCGGCGAGTCAGCGGGTTGACTCGGCGAGTAGGGTCAATCAAGAAGGTTGACTTTGGCCAGGACTTTGACTTTGACCAGTTTGACCTTCAAGGGTATTATGGTAATTTGGTATTTATGTCAATGGATCATTGATGGCTATAGGTGTTGGAGTTTGGGGCAGTGCTTCGGGTTTGTGCTTTCGTGGTTCGGTTCGGCAGTTGCAAGGTGAGTTATCCTCACTATACCCAAGGGTCTAAGGCACCAAGGCCGGCCCTTTGTTTTGTTATTTGAGATAGTTACTGCTGTGATATGTTAGATGGCATCCTGGTAGATAGGATGGCTATATGATGGTATGCTCTGTTAGATCGGTATTCTGGTAGATTGGATGTGGCTATGCTTAGTGACCTGTAGTTGGTCTGTCGGTCTGTATGCTGGTAGGAGATTACCTGTTTTATGTGCACGTGTTGAGCAGTAGTAGAGGGTATTCCATCCCGGTAGGATGATAGGGCCCTAGTATGTTGTCTTGTAGACTGTTAAATGGTTATTTGATAGGTGCACATGTTTGCTAGTATGTGGGCATTCCAACCCGATGGTTGAGGGCCAGGAGTATTCCATCCCGGTGGGATGATTGGACTCATAGTAAGTGGGCATTCCAACCTGATGGTTGAGGGCCTGGGGTATTCCATCCCGAGGGATGATTGGACCCGTAGTATTTATTGTATGTATAGTAGGTGGGCATTCCAACCCGATGGTTGAGGGCCAGGAGTATTCCATCCCGGTAGGATGATTGGACTCATAGTAGGTGGGCATTCCAACCTGATGGTTGAGGGACTGGGGTATTCCATCCCGAGGGATGATTGGACCCATAGTAGTTATTGTATGTATAGGTGTGTGGGAATTCCAACCCGATGGTTGTGGGCCGAGAGAATTCCATCCCGAGGATGATTGGACTCGTAGTTCGTTGGCATTCCAACCCGACGGTTGAGGGCCTGGGGTATTCCAACCTGACGGTTGATTGGACCCATAGTATGCTGTTCATTGATGTATGTGTATGGTTATGTGTGTACGGGTATTTTGGGGGAACTCACTAAGCTTTCGAGCTTACGGTTTTCAGTTTATTGTTTCAGGTACATCAGATGATCGTGGCAAGGCAAAAGAGTGATCGTACCGCTTCTCATATTTCATGATTTTGTGATTTGGTTCTAGGGATACTCTGATGTTTAAACTATTTTGAAACAAGTTGAAATAACTTAATGGTTTTTGAATGAGTTAAAATGTTTTAAATTGACTTGAATTTTATGGGTGTTACACAAATCCAGGTTTAGCAGGTCAGTTTGAAGACTATAATGATGCAGAACAACTGCTTCCAAAAACGCAGTCGGGAGTTTGAAATGCCATCCAAATCAAGTGGAGCCGAGTCATCCTCCATACACAACAAATCCCTAAATTTCCAGTCCCTGTGAGAACGACAACGAGTAGAGTATGTGAATCTAAAAATCGACGGTGTGTGATACATATTCTTTCTTGTACATAAAACCCTAATTCGATGTTATGAGAGGAAGAAGCGTGAGAGAGCTGAGCGTGTTTTTAAGTAATGAATAATGCAATCAAGATGCAATGCACGAATAAAAAGGTATTTTAAACAAACATTTGACTATCAAATGTCAATGTAACCGGGAAACCGGATGATTTTTGAGCAAAATGGTATTTTAGACAGGTAAATTTCGATTTTAATGGTTTAACAGGTCCAAAAAAAAAATTTAATGGTCATTTAAAACCAAACGCAAAACTTTGATATGCCTTTATGTCAGTAATCATTTTCAAAAAGATGTTGATTTATTAAAAGCATTTTTTAAATTGTTATTTCAACTAGCTTATATGAAGATGCTTTAGTTCTCTTGTAACTCCAAAATTAATTGTCAAGCATTACGCGAAAGAGCTAATTATAAAGCCTAGAGTTACATTGAAATGCATGTAGGCCGACATTCATAAGAAATTTTTTAGTAAGGTCTTAGTATCATCAGGACCGAGTGTCATGTTTTAACTTATCAATAAGTCTGAGATGTCATGTCTTGGTACGCAATCCAGATTAAATAGGGGTTCCACTCAGTCCGGTAATATTGTTTAACGAGCCATTTAGGACTCAAAGTCCGTAATGAATCATTACCGGGTTGTTGATTACTTCGCCAATTTACCAAAAAGTAGGTTTATTTTCATTAAGTATAGCTAAACTATGATTAGTTTAATCAATAACCCTAAACATAAATATTAGTAAACAATTAATCTTAACTTTTAAATGCATCTAATTTGAAACATTTGACCGGAAAATAGCAACTCGTAAATCTTCCTCATGGGTTATTCAAAGTCCATGAAATTGAACATTTTGCATCAACAACACAACAACAGTTCATGAATAGACCAATTCAATTAATTTTAAATGAGTCTTTGAAGCTCAACACTCATGAAGGCAAACCCATGGAGAAGGAGGAGAATATTGTGATTATCTGGTTGAAGCCGTTGAACGGGATCTTTATGTAATTTTGACTATATTGAGAAATAAATTGCCACGTAAGCAAACCTAGTCATATCATTACTTCAATCCACACAAATGATAAATAAATAAAAAGTGGCTAATTGAATTAGATTATAATTAATTTCATGTCTCATTTGAAGTTTTACAATTGTCCTTTTTCAAAGAAGATATAATTCTTCCTCATTCCTTTGATATGATTAAATAATTTTTTAAGTAATATTTAAAGCTTGAAATAGTATTAATAAAATAAAATTAAAAACATTGGGACCCACATGATGTTTACCAGTTGTTGAAATGACACTATTTTATTCTATTTTTATTTTTTTAATTGAATCAAAATATGTATATATCTGCTTGGATTTGTCCATTGTTGGTTTCATATCTAAAAAGAAGTTTTGTAAATAAAAACGAGGGAAAAACATTGTGATTTATAAACGAAAATTAAATTCAAGAATATAGTTTAATATTTAATTATTTATAGATGCTTTAAAGATCAAATAAACAAGTGTTTAGACCCAAATCCACAAGAGGAAAATTGGGAATTTTGTTGGAATTTGGGTTTAGAAGGAAGGAATCATGTATGAGAATCTAAACAAGTGATATAAATCCATTTCAGATAAAGACAAGACATGTATATTTACCTTTTAACAGACAACATGCCAACAAAATCATTATTATATACCTCAAATAATACTAGATTGCATTTTTCTAAAAAATTAATCACTATTTTTATATTTAAAGAGCAGACAAAGAAATTACTAAAAAGATTTTGAAAGTAAGTGTAAAATTAAGATGGGTCCATTTCTCACCTCAGAGCTTAATTCATTGGATTCTTATTTCAAGAATAATAGGCTCATTTTCAAAATTTATCACTCTTTTTCTTCATTTTTATTTTTTTAACTACTAAGATGTCGACACGTTCCTGTGGATTTATTAATTTCATATTTTTTATTTTGATATTTTGATATTATTTTTGTATTGTTCTCTTACATAAAGACCATTTCTATAATTTTATTGTTACACTGGGACCATTACGGTAACTTTATCTTATACAGAGACTATTTCTGTAATTTTGATATTACATAGGATAGGGACTATTTCTCTCATTTTTATAATATCGCTACTATATAGGGATTTAAGTAACTTTGTCTTGCAGGGGAATTGTTACTATAATTTTATCTTACAGTGAACAATTTATGTAATGTTGTTACATAGCAATCATTTATGACTATTTCTGTAATTTTCTCAAATATACCGAACCAAAACTGAAAAATGAAAATTCAAGGAACCGAGGACCGAACTACTTTACACATTCGGTTCCTATACGATTTCAATTCGGTTTGGTTCGATTATATGTTTAATTTCATTTATATTGGGATGAGATGAATTCTGGAATCAGACTGAACCTACCCGGAACCAAAAAAATAAATAATAATAAAAAAATCGAAAAACATGAATTCAAAGAACTGGGAACCAAACTGATTTACATATTCAGTTTCTATACGGTCTTGGTTCAGTTCGGTTTTGTCAGGTATTTTGCTCATCCCTACAAAGACCATTAGATAATTTTACAAAAAACATTTGAACAATTTTCTCAAACATATGAACCATTAAATAAAATGTAAATTTTACACAATTATTTCTTTCTATAACTTTCTCAAACATAGAAACCATTAGATAATTTTTTTCAGCAACAATTTCTATAACTTATTCAATCATAGGGACCATTATATAATTTTACAGGATCCATTTATGTAATTTTCTCAAACATAAGAACTATTTTTATAATTTTCTTCAAACATAAAGACCATTAAATAATTTTATAAAACAATTTCTATAAAATTTTCAAAGATAAGGACTAATTGACAATTTTATAGAAATATAATAAGACGAAATATGCACTACTTCGTAAATGTGCATGATGAATAGTTGTATTTAATAACATGAGTGATTAGTCGAACAAACTTGTTAAAACTATTATAATGATTAAGATAACGATATTTTAGTATTTTGCACATACATGAGATCAATATGTTCCATACGACAAAAAAAAGGATAAAATTGAAAGAATAGTCCCTGTGGTATGTCAAAACTAGTATGTTTGGTCCAAAACAAGTTTGGACTCGCAAGGATGGTCCAAAAGTTTCATTTTGTTGGGAGTTTGGTCCAATTTGGTTTGAACTTTTTTGTAAATACGATTTTGCCCCTTATTATTTAATTTTCCATTTTTATTTTATTACCAACAATTAAAAATAAAACAAAATAAAATTCTCTCTCTCTCCAAAGTTGTCGGACCACCACAACAGTCGGACAACCACCGCCGGTCAGATCACCACCACCAGTCGGACCACCACCTCTTGCTGGAACTCTAGCATTTTCCGTCGACGACTTCGTTGTGCCACTCATTTCGTTGCAAGAATTCATATCTAGGATCTTTGTCACCAACTGTGGCTCAATTTTTCAACGATAACGAATAGAGACGGCATTCCAGATCTTTGATGATGACCCCACCGAAGAAAGAATTTGCAGATCTGAAAGAGAAGGATATAGGCATCTCCGACGAACCCTACCCCTAACGTCATTGTGTTAGTATCTCGAAGCTCATAGCCGTCGTTGGAGAAGGCGAAAACGATGTAAAATCGAGCCACAAACTTCACCCTTTCAACATCGTTCTTGTGGAACCCTTCCCGTCGGGGACGAACAGATGTCATCGTCGTTCTTGCTTCACCCTTTGAGCATCGTTCTCGCTTCACCGGTGGTGTTGGAAACATTACTATACCCCTCACCTCCAACCACTGCTACACCCCGTCACCATGCTCGTCGGCTTCAGATGTGTTCAGATCTGTGGCTAAAGGATCCGACGGTGGTGTAGAGATGTAACCCATATCGATGACCCCCTAGATTGATGACAACAACCTCGTCGGAGGCTTAATATAAGAGAAAAATCGACCCTAGGTGTCCCCCCCCCCCCCCCCTCGATTTACAGTTGCGAAACCCCCCATCTAAAAAACCCTAGCCGCCAAGAAACCCAAAGTTTAGATCTCGGTCTCTTTTCTCTCGTTGTCGGGTGTCGAGGTTCAAATTGAGGGCAGCAACAATCGAAGCGGGTGTTTTGGGGTGGTGCTACCTAACCGGAGGGAGGCCGAGGGGCAGCCTAGGCCGGCACCAGCCATCAGTTTCTTCTTCTTTGAGAGAGAGAGAGAGAGAGAGAGTTGTGTCTAACTATTGGTAATAAAATAAAAATAGAAAATTAAATAATAAGGGGCAAAATCGTCTTTATAAAAAAGTTCAAACCAAATTGGACCAAACTTGCAACAAAATTTGCAACAAAATGAAACTTTTGGACCACCCTTACCAGTCCAAACTTTCTAGTTTTGACATACCACAGGGACCATTCTTGCATTTTTGTCACAAAAAAATTACTAACTTCTGTATCATTGAAATCAAATCATAATAGATGCTTCACAACATTCATCAATAAGAAACTTTCTAAGGTCATTTATGTCTTTTACACGTCACAACATTGATCAATAAGAAACTTTCTAAGGTTAATACGAATATAAGGTCATTTATGTCTTTTACACAAGATAGAGATTCTGACCTGCCATTTGGATGGGACACAAAACAATTGACATCAGTATAAAACCAATCAAATGCATGCCAAATACAGTACTACGGCATATTCTGTCATATCATCATTGAAATAGAAATAACCGAATGAATGATTATGAATGATGTTTCCGATTATACCCAATACCAATTACAACAGTTGAAGTACATTTTTTCTTGCTATCAAAATCCACTTTACATGCAACACCACCAAAAGGTTAAAAAAAAAACAAAAAAAAAAAAAAAAAAAAAACAAGCAAGAAAACATAATAAGCTTCTAGACCCTAAATCCATGAGTCCTATAAAACCTCAAATTTCAAAACAGAAAATAGAAGATCATCCACATCCACCAGACTCATGACCAAAAACCATATACCACCCACCAAGAAAAAAGACAAGACCGAATAAACACTTCCACCCCCCACCCCCATCACTCCACCTTTTAAAAAATGGTCGCTTTATCGGTTACAAGAGGAATTCATCTTTTTTTTGTTTATATGTATATATATGATAATGATATATATATATTATATCCTCCAACAATAACATAATCTCTTCTATCAAAACTTCCAACCTCCTCTCCCTCCTATATAAGATGATTTACACTCAAATCCCTAATAATCCATCCACTCATACCTTTTTGGGTTTTGGGTTTTGATTGTTGAAGTTTGTTACTTTAGTAGTTGTTAGGCCAGTTGATTTGAGTTGGTTGGGGTTGTTGCTGCTGATAGACACTAGCTGCGGGTCCCACCATGTCCACACTACCCGGTCCACCAGCAGCCAGTGGGTGAACCGCACCGGTGGTTACGGGTTGAGGCGGGTGATAAATATTAGCAAAGGCCGCCGCGTGGCCGTGGTTAGGTTGTTGTGTTGGGGTGGTGTATGCCACTTGACCGCCTTGAGGGAGATTATAGAAAGAACCCGACATGTCTCGACCTGGTCCGGGTCCCGCTATCCATACACCCGGACCTTCACTCTACAAACAAAACAAAACATACAATTTTTACACCAACTTTTTTTTTTATTTTATTTTTTTTTAAAATAGAAAATGTGCATAATAGTTGATACAAGTAAGATGGAATCGGAGAAAGAATGGAATGGATTGTAATTGAAACTAACCTGCTGGCCAGTGATGTAAACATTAGTTTCCTTAAACTGGGAGTGGGAGTGGGACCCACCAAGGTCTTCATTAGAGGTGGAATTAGCAGCAGCAGGGGCTGCTGAAGCATATGGTCCATAGCTTCCCGCCATTCCAATATGTCCTGAGTTATTGCTTCCGAGCTTATACTGTGGAAGCGGGTATTTAGAATTAGAGGCGGCGGCCACGGCCACTGGTGGTGGTGCTGGATACATGCCGCTACCTTGCTGTGGTTGTTGTGGGAATGTCCCATTGCTTAAAAACTGATGGATAGCAGCTAGTGGAGGGACATAAAATGGGGAGAAATATGGACCGTATGGGATGTAATTTGGAGGGTAATGGGGTAGATGAACCCCTGGTGGCTGCCGGAAAACAGGTAATGGTTGTTGAGTGACGGATATGGAGCTTTGCATGGTTTGTGTGGCGGCTGTTGGTGTTGGACTGGTGGTGGATAACATTAGTGAGTTCCCGACCTGTGGTTTCAATTAACAATTAATTAGTAAATAGAGACATATATGGTTAAATTTAAGAAACAAACCTCTTGAGAAGAGTGAGAAGGCTGTGGAACATTTCCATTGTACTTTGTGGTTGAGTGGAAAGGTGACATGCGTCCATCACTCTCACGATAAAAGTGAGCATAATAGGTTGCTGGATCAAACGGTTGCTGAACCTGTAAGTAATTTTCTCAAATACATCATTTTTTTTAAATTAATTAATTAATTAATGGATTATAAATAAATAAATAAAAAAGGGTGGTAGGGTCTTACTACAAAGCTTGGGACATGAGAAGCATCGCGTGCCTGAGACTCGGTGTTTTCAAAAGATGTAACTTGGCTTCCAATCATTGGTGGCATGAACCCAAAACTGAAGTTTGGATTTGGAGATGTATGAACAACTGGGTATTGATGACTTGGAGTTGGAAGTGAAGAAGAAGAAGAGGTCTCTTGCTTGGGCTCTCTGTACTCGGGTCCCGCATTCGATGACATGTCACCTTCCGTTGGTAAACTCTCGGGTACATTAGATGAAGATGTGGTAGGAGGGCGTTCAAGATGATCATCCTCTCCATCAGCCTTTTCATTTCTGAACCAATAAAATACATACATTTATCAGAAAATGTTGTCTAGTCCAATATGCAATACAACCTAAGTAACAAATGGAGACAAAAGGAAAATAAACCTGGACTGCATTTGCTCCTCTATACTTCTTTCATCAGCCTCCTCAGAAGTCTTGTCACTCACAGGACCATTTGAGGTTTTATTAAAACCGAAAGTGGCATCAAAACTCCCAAAACAGAAGCCGAGTTTTTCGGCTTCAGGAACATGAAGGTGATTTGGGATAATGACATGTTTATCATCTGAAATATGTGACTCCTTTACCTTCTTCTCAAGTTCATCCTCCTTTGAATCAAGATTAGTGGAGGATGCAGAAGAAACTGTTGTTGGAGTATGAGCTTCAACTGGAACCACAGCCACAGCCACCTTAATTGACCCTTGACTTTGAGCAATTGGTTTCGGTTTCCATTCCATGCTAGGACCAACTGTAGGAAATCACAAATAATTTTATCATTATTACACAATGATTTAAGGTTTTTTTTTTTTTTTTTTTTTTGTATTAAATTTTGGGACCCAACGATGTTTATAGTTTTTTTATCTTCAAAATGAAGACCAACATATTTTTTTTTATAGGACTGAGGTTTCCCAGAATAAACACAACTATCTTTCCAAGATCTACCAAAATTTCCTCTTTTGCCCAGTAATAACCACAAGTATTTGGTAACATCGGATTTGATCAAAAAACATGTTGCTATTCATTCAGGGGTGTTTTTTTAAGGAACTATTAATCAAATGGTTCCAATCAAACTATGCATTTGTTTTGGGATGCAAGGGGTGTGGTGGCTGACAATGACATGCACAAACAAAAGGTGGCTAGGTTTACACCTCTGCAATCATTAAGTTCTACTATTTGACTTCTAATAAAAGCATTCAGTTAAAACTTAAAAGTTAAGCTATCAGTGTCTTGATACCTTTTTGAGGTCCAATTGCTTGTTGCATCCTATTATTATAATTTGATGAAGGCCTGGCAATGGAAAAGGAGACATGAGAAGATGATCCTGGTCGCGAACAAGACTCTGAAACCACATTCTTCCCCACTCCCTGAAGCTCACCGGGTCCCACCTTCCCTTGCTCAGAACCAGCTGTCATGTAAACCATTCATAAATACAATTAATTTACATCAGATACAAAATAATTTCTTTATCCTTAAGGTCACGTTTGTAACACTGGGCTGGACAAGCGGTCTAGGGCTATTTTCAATAACAAAGATGAGGAGAGGGCATTCACGTCTTTTGCACAAACAAAATGATAACAAATGGTGATTAAATAAATTTAAAAATAATAATAAAAAAAAAGGTTCTCACAAGCAGTTGATTTGATCATAAGAGGGGACTCTTGAATTTGTTCAACTGCAGCTACTTTACTCCCAACTTCACGTCTAATAGTACCCACAGACAGCCGTGAATCTTGTGATGGCATCAAAATAGGATCTTTTTCGGACAAATATACCCCTGGTGAAGGTGATACTGATGGTGTCTTGGATGCAGATGTGTTCTTGGAAGTCAACATAGAAGACCCTAAGGCAACAGCTGGGATCTTACTTGACTCAACAGGAACAACCCTTGGCACTTGGCCCTCCATCTTACTACTAGAAGTAGATGAAGTCACTTCAGATTGCTTCTTATCACTTTCAACAGATGTCTCTTTACTCTTCTGACCCTGAGGAATTGACTGATTTGCCCCTTCCTCCGCACCTTTATTGATTATCCCGTTTTCCTTTGCAGAAAGAGCTGTTCTTCCACCACCTGCATCTGGGAATAATATACCATAGAATTGTTTAGATTACATTTAGTTCTAAACATATTAATATGATGAACAAAATCAGATTAAATAAGATGCATTTTAATATGGTGAATTACCATTAGACATGTGGCGAGATGAGTAGTTCCCTCTGCCACCCCTGTTACCCCTTCCCTGCATCCCAGGTTTCCATCTAGGCTCTGTAGATTCTTTACTCGGATTCTGCAAAAAGAAAGCATTTTAACTTTCATATACTACAAAAATCAGGAAATATATTTCTAGATTAACAGAAAAATCATGCATTGTGACTTTACCTCCTTCTTTCTGTCACGTTTCCTTTTAACTTCATGAAATGGGTCTGTGCAGAATGAGTTAAAAGTTGTTATTATAATTTGTATACATATATAATGACATTGCTTGATGTAAAACATAATGTGCTTGGAGTTGCACACTGGAATGCAATAGAAGATCTAAGAATTAAATGGAAGATAATCAAAGCACATGATGCCCAAAATATAACACATTACAAAACAAATGTTTAAGGGATAACAAAAAGAATGAAAATCACCAAACAAGTCCAATGAGCAGCCCTTTAACGGGTATGTGGGCTGGGCATCTATATAACTATTGCCATGAAAATAGAGGTACAAGAAGGCTATCAAGAAAAGATAAAAGGATGCTATAAACACCTGCATCGTTGCAAGAATATTAAGAACATATGCAGATATTAAATAGTAAAAAAGAAGCTATATAAATGAGAAGTTGTAGAAGAAACCAGAAAAAAATTGATGAAAATGGTATATGAAAAATGGCTAATGCAATGGAAAGGAAAAGTAGGATCCTAAATTATGTCAAATGTGCCAAAGATTACACACAATAACTTGTAGTAGACATATAATGAGGTAAGAGAATGATTGTGAATTATATAAGGTTCCTAATAAAAATAGTAAGGGCGCAGAGGATAACTTGATGACTCTCTTTTGAGTTTTGATGATACTTATCAAAGGTTTGGATGAAGATTGAAAGTGCTCGTGTGAAAATGGCACTAAGATACGCTAAGCTTTAATGCATCATAGTATTCATAAAAAAAAGGTAGGAGATTCGTAAGGATGAAGCCATATGAAGCTCCAAATCTCCAATAGGTTAATTGATGTCATTACCAAGGCCCTGTTTCTTTTTTCCCATTAAATGCTATCTGGATAAATGATATTTACAAAGTAACTGAGAATGACAGCAAGCTCGAGGATATAGAAGAAAAATAATAAGGAAAATTTTGTAAACAGTTAGGACTCAACAGGAGTCTCCTTTCTCCTGCTTTTCGCCATTAAGTGGTGCCTTTTACATTACATTAAGTCAAAAGGAAACACCAATGTATAGCTCATTGGATTAAGTCATGTCAACAACATCTAAGACAGCTATTATACCAAAGGATGGAAGAATACTAAGGTCCGAGTTATGGCCAAAAGAACATGCTGACAAAAATCAAATTGGTTTTAGATCAATATGATCAACAACATAGTCTATTTTCTTGATTAGAGAACTACTGAAGGGTCATAAAAAAGAATTCCATACAATGAAAAAGATGGTGGTTCTAGCTTCTGGAATTTCTTGCTGACTTGTTTTTTTCACATGGGCTTTTGAGAATAATGTATTTGTTGTAGCTGTATCTTTTTAAATTTATCCACAACGATGACTAAGAAGCATGAAAACATATTTTAGCAAACATATGCTTTTCCTATTACATAGTGTACACCAGGGTCTTTGTTAAGTCTTGTCTTTTTGATTTAGTTAACAAATATTTGAGAAAATGACAGTACGTTTAGGGAAATGAAAGGAAAAAATAAATGAGGGAATGTAAAAAGTTATCCCTGACTTTCATTATTAAGTTGTTGTCTGAGTCTCTGCATTAAGTCAAAAAGAAAGACCCATATATAACTTACCGGATTAACTAATGTCCCCATTAAGCCCATTAAGTCAAAAAAGAAAATCCAACTTGGTTATGCATATATAGACATAGCATTAAAAGTTTATGATACATAGAAGAAAGTTAGGAGGCAATGGTTGATAGCTAAGGCAACAAGGTTAAGATGGTTTGGTCATACTTCCTGTAAAGTGGTTCACCTCTTTATAATTTCCACTGGATTCCATTCTTTTGGCCCACCCTTCTTTGAATAAAGAGTTTTTCCATGACAAAAACATGTTCTGCACTATCGAATTACTATAATTTCAAAGTTTTAAGCTTAAATTATTGAAGAAAACAATAACGATATACATATATCTAGCTCCTATTTGAGTAACCACCGTAAAACTATCTACTATAAAGTGAGAATTTCTGTTAAAAACATTGAACTCCCAGCTTGTAAATCAAGGATCACGAAAGGTAGCACCAATCAGCTATACATAAACATGAAAACAATACATAAAAGATAAAACTTCAAGAACAATTATAACCAATCTAACGAGCACGCTAGGAGTTAAAAGAGAGAATAAGAAACAAAAAAAATCCCAAACCAGGCACATAGAACACGCAATTGCAAAGGTAAATCCCTAAAATCAACAAGCACATAAAAACGCACAAATCGAACAAAGAAAAATAGATCCCACTATGAAATTAAGAAAGGGGGAAGAGTACCCTGTAAGAGGAGCTTCTGAGCGGTCTCGTTTGGATCCATGGAACATTCTTTAAGCATTGCATATATCTCATCTTCACTGTGATTACCTGTGATCTCCTTGATGTTCTGGATCGTCTTCCGTACATTGTTTGGAATGGTAACCCTACCCCCACTCATCTTTTTCTTCTTGGTACACAAATAACAATAATGACTCTCTAATGTTTATGTATCTATGTATAGAGACAATTTATGCATATGTATCTCTGTGTGCCGAAAGAATTAGGGAGAGAAAAAAGATAGCATACAAAAGGGGTTGAATCCTTTGATATAAAATTAGATTGATTGTGAATAAGATGGATGAAGAATAATGGGGAAAGACTTTGGCAAGGGTTTTTGGATTGATCGAATTTTGGTTTATTTTAGAGAGAGAGAGAGAAACGGAGGGGAAACAATACACCGAAACGGAAGTCTGTGTGTGTTGGAGTGTAATGTTTTCTTGTTACTTTTTAGAGAAAAAGTACAGTTTTGGTCCCTTAACTATTTTTTTTAACCTACAAGTTTACTTTATTAAGATTTCCCTTACAGTTTTAGCCCACACTTGGCTTTTTATACGTCCTTTTCTATTCAAAATATTCATTTTCATCTCTTTGAATAAGGTGATTTTTGTTTTAGATGTAAAAAGATATATAATTTGCGGACCATATGTGTAGAAGAAGAGGTAAATCAAACGTTTATATATTTTTAATAAAAAAACTAATTGTTTTTAAAGTTCGCATGTTGTTAAAATAAATTTATATTTAAATAAATTGGTTTTTTAATCTTCGAAGAATTTTTTTTCCTCAAATGTATTTTATCAATAATTATCTATAATTAAAAAAAAGACGATTAGAAACTCGCCCATATTCTAGTAAACTTTCATAATTACGTATATATCTTTGTAAAACTTCAAATTACATGTATATCCTTATAAAATTTATAAACTCACGTATATAACCAAATACTTAATTTAATCATAACTTATCTATTTAAATTTTTTAAACATTATCATTAAAGTGATTTTTTATTATTAAAAAACTAATCAACTTGTAACATTACAATTATTTTTATTCCCAACAAAATATAGTGAGTAAGGAAATTGATCATTATATTACCCTCTCCCAAGGAAAAACCTGTAACACTTGTTTTCATGATTGATTAGCTAAAGACTTAGGGATTTTTAGAATAAGGTTTTGGGAAAAACCTAATGTCGTGACGCGGATGATAAGGACCCGTGGCGCGGTCCATATAATTAAATAGCGACGTAGTCAGGTGTGGAGCACGGCGCGATGGCGGTTGGGCTCAAAATCCTAGATATCGAACCTTGAGCTCTATATTATAATGCTGACTTTTAGGGTTTCCCCTATTCTCCAACCTCCTTCACCCGAAACTGAAAACGTCCCCAAAACTCATACAAAAATTTTCATTTTTAAAAGATAAAAAAAATCATTCATTCTATTTCATCAAAGATCATCATAGTATCAAAAGTAGTTCCAAAACAAGATCAGTGTACCAAAAAAGTGTGGAAACTCCAATTGACGTGATGCAATTAATCATGGCTCTTCCTCTTGCTATAAGAAATACCTAAAACATTTAAACTTAAAACTATAAGTACGAAGCTTAGTGAGTTTCCCAATATACCACATACCAATACGAGCCTCACCCTATATACATAACGGGCTCCGACCAACATACATAACAAACATGGCAGAGTCACAAAGACGGTATAACATTCTACACGGTATAATGAGAAAACTCACCTCACAATCAAAGTATACTACATCACAGTTCGTACGATCGGAAGACTGGTCCTACACACAACTTATTATAGAATAAAAGGTATATCATTAGTCTACTATCTAAAACTATCAAGTTGACCAAAAGTCAATCTGGTCAACAATCAAAGTCAACTTACAGACCATCGCACTATGGCAAGGCCTTGTCCACATCGTGGTTTGCCCAATCATGATCTCGATTGATTAGTCCACAACACAATAGTCATCGCATGACCATGTCGTGGTTACACTGACAGATCCACCCCTTATTAAGTCCTTAGTCCATTAAGTCCACCACTCAAACTTTCCAGAAAGCTTCTTTGCACCCAAATGATTCATAAAAATCCTAACTTTATAAATATGCATGTTCAATACATGTCACACACAAAATTAGGTAAAAAATGAGATAAGTGGGTTCAAAACCCCATGCATGGCACATAATCAACATGGAAGTCCAAATCTGAACCATATGATACTCTTAGGATTGCAATCATCAATAAGGTTGCAAACTTTATCAATATGGACCACTCAAATCATCCCAACAAGGATAACTAGTCCCAAAAACTTAGATCTAAAAGGAAACACCCTTAAAGATGAAGGTTTGGAAACTTACAAAGGTCCATAATATGCACAAAGAGATGGATATGAGCTTGCTTGATGATCCCTTGCTCTACAAGACTTTTCATTCTCCCTTCAGAGGCAATAAATCACCAAAATAAGCTCAAAATGTTTACAAAGAGGCTAGGGGTTTGGTTCTTTGTAATTGGAGGTATTGGAGGATGGGGGTGAGAGAAACTTTAGCCATTGCTTCCTTTAAATAGGACCAAGGCCCGAGATCTAGGGTTTTGAGCTCCAGCCGTCACCATGTCGTGCAAGGAAATGACCATGCCGTGGTCACTAAATGACCCACCATGTCGTGGATAAAGCCCTACCACGTCGTGGTGATGGGAAACAACCCAAAACCAAAACATTGCAAATCACAAGACTTATACTTGAAAAAACGGGTGTTATAGAAACTAATTATATGCTATAAATTAAGAGATTTGTGAGGTATTTATGGAGTGCTTGATGAAGAAATAAGGTTCCTTAGTGTTGAAGTTGGTGTTGGTGTCCATTCTCAACTCAAGAATCCTCATTCTAGTCCCCTCTTATGCATTGTAAGTCTCAAAGATCCTTGATTTATTGGAGTTCATGCATAGATCTATAATTCCATTTGGTTTTTGGTTATTTGTGGTCACTTTGATTGGATATTCTTGGAGTTTGAGCAACTACAAAATCTTAGCTTGCAAGAGAACATGTTTATGACCTTTATGAAAAAGAAAAGGATGTGCACTTGTGTTCTTGTTTAACCATGCACAAGTTTATGCAGATTTGGTTAAACATAGACCTTGGAAGGGATATAATTGGAAACTCTATCCATTAAGTCAATAGAAATATTCAGACATGAAGATATAAGGATTGATTTGTAGAGATTAAGTGCTTAATAAGAATTAAGTTATGTCAAAGGAATCGTGAACCGACCAAGGATAGTCCACGACGCGAATGTATGATTGGGTTCTCGACTGTTTTGTTGCCTTGTGCTCGCGACACAACCAAAAGCTGGGTCGCAGTGCATTGGCCGCTGATTGTTGGCTTTGACCAGTTGACCATTGAATTTTTGACCAATTTGGCCTTTGGTCAAATGGGAGGTTTTGAGCCGTAGATTGAGGTTTAACCTTTGTTTTGGTATATGTGGTTCATGTAGCTAATTCTTCGAGAGTTCGAGTAGTTTGGATTCAACTCTTTGGTTCAAGTGAGTCTTCTCACTATAGGACACTAGTTGTCATAGTATGCTAGATTGTATTTGTGATTTTTGTATGAAAGACTATGGTGGTAATATAAAACTTGTATGAAATTAAACAATGGTAAAATATACTATAGTGGTACTGTAGCAACGGAAGTGAGTGTAAGACTATGATTGTATCATAGCATTCAAAGAAGTATGTGGTATTTTGGAGAACTTAATAAGATTTGTGCTTACTGGTTTAAGTTTAAATGTTTCAAATTGTTTCGACACACAAAGTGAAGGGCACGACTTGATTGCATTGCATCCATGAATATATTTTTGGAGCATTTCACATGTTTTATTTCACTATATTTTATTACTTTGATTTTGATTATGGTATTTTGGAGAACTCTCATTTAATGACTCAACTTCCACATAAGCTACATCAACGCGTGAAACCAACTGAGGAAGGGTTATTGGAAGAAAATGGATAATTTGTTTAATTTAACCGGTTTTCTAGGCCTTGTTTGTTTAGTTTTCTTAGAACTAAAATATTGAAACTTATTATTATTATTATTATTATTATTATTATTATTATTAGTTGAGAAAACCCAACTTCATTTAGCCTAAAAAATTAGTTAAAATTTAGGGACATACATAGGTAACTTTTTTCCGAAGTAAACGTTAAAAGGTACCTCCCGAATTTAGAAAGCCGTAACCCTATTTTCCACCGCAAAACGCTCGCCGCTTCGCCATAAGGATCATAGCTTCACTTCGGTGCCCTAATTTCGAAGGATCGGAACCAAATTTCTGATTCAGTAACCGCTCTTCAATGGGATCCAAGCGATCTGACTTTGGTGACGGCGCCAGTCCTGGGTTCGTCATCTCTCTACAATTCCATAAGTTTTCTCTTAATGGTTTCCTTTGGTTTTACATCTAATTACCAATGGGAACCTAAATCTTGATTGATGAATTCGTTACAGGAAGATATTTATTGGAGGTTTAGCGAGAGATACTACTATAGGTTAGTCGCTACATTTACGATGTGCTTTCGTACGTTCTCGAAACAGCATCTGATTTCTTTATGGTTGCATGTATATAGACACTTTTGTCAAGTACTTCGGGAAGTATGGAGAGATTACGGACTCGGTTATCATGAAAGATCGACAAACTGGTCGACCGAGGGGTTTTGGGTTCATCACATATGCAGATCCTTCCGTCGTTGACACTGTAATTGCTGAGACACATGTCATAAATGGAAAACAGGTGAGTTACTTCATAGTTGTAGTATATTAACAGTAAGCCTGTCATTTTTTACACTTGAATTCCCGTTTACATTGTTCTCGTGAGAAAGAACCTGATATATGCATTGAAATTACATAGCAATTCAATCTTCACTTAGATTATCTGTAATGTGAGACTGCTTTCTTAGAAAACAACAAATACTCTAAGAACTACAAACTATTAGGTTGCATTGATTGATCAAATTTAGGTTATTGCTTGGTCGATTTTCCCCAATTGGTTATGACCCGAATAGTTGAATCATGTAGTTACTGAAATGTTCTTATTTAGGACCTCTCCAGTTTAACAAAGTTAACTATATTTGGGGAATCAAATGTGAATCAAGTTCCCTACTTTCTAAAGTTTTTGTGAACTTGAAGACATTCCATTGACTCTAGCCATACATTGTTTGTAGTTCAATGCTAATAATTTTGTTACTAACTGCTTGAATGTCTATTTGCATAGGTGGAAATCAAGAGAACCATTCCCAAAGGCTCTGGTGATTCTAGGGATTATAAAACAAAAAAGATATTTGTTGGTGGGATCCCCACATCAGTTACAGAAGGTTAGCATGTGAAAATCATGAATATATAAAAGCTCCAATTATCTGATTCTTGCCATTCTTTTGTTGTCCAGATGAGCTTAAAGATTTATTCTCAAAACATGGAACAATAGTTGAGCATGAGATTATCCGAGATCATGTGACAAAACGTTCACGAGGGTTTGGATTTATTGTATTTGATAGTGAACAAACCGTTGATGAAATTCTTGTCAATGGAAATATGATTGATATGAATGGCACACAGGTAAAGTTATATTAAAGATCTATAAGCCTATTAGATGTAGAAAAAAGACAAAACTTTTTTTTTTTGCTAGAGATGGATGTCCATATGTCCATGGGTTTGGTTTATAAATAGTTTTATATGGAGAAAAAGGAAAAGGTTAACATGTTTATTTGGTGTAGGTTGAGATCAAGAAGGCTGAACCAAAGAAACCCTCAAACCCTGCACCTAATTCATACACTAGGGAACCTAGGGGACGTGGATACACCGATAGTTTTGATGGTTATGATGATTCTTATGGTGGCTATGGTGGTGTAGGCGGTGGTGGTGGTGGTGGTTATGGTCCACCTTCTTATAGGTCTTACGGTGCACTTCCAACTAGGTATGCTGACTATGGGTCATATGGACCTGGTGCAAGTGAATTTGGTAGTCGTTATGGTGAATTTGGCGGTGATTATGGTGGTTATAGAGGCGGAGGTGGTGGTGGTGGTGAGCCGCCACTCGGTTACTCTAGTCGGTTTAGTTCATTCAGTGGTGGAGGGTTTGGCGGTGGATATGGTGGTGGGTTAGGTGGGTATGGTCGTGGTGGTGGTGGTGGTGGTGGTGGAGGGTATGGGGGGTATGGTGGGGGGTCAGGGGGTAGTGGTGGTAGTTATGAGTCAGGTGCAGGTTCAGGTTATGGTGGTGCAGGTGGGCCATATGGTGGTAGGGCAGGTTATAGTGGTGGTGGCAGTCGTTACCACCCTTATGGTGGCAGGTAGACACCACCATATCTTTAGCTTCACTTGGATGTCATATCATATCACTCAACTTTTGGTTCAGAGTTGAATAGACATTAATACCCTTTACAGCAACAAGACACTAGAAGATCAGCATTAGAGAACCAGAGTTGGATTTGCATTTAGTTAATAGATAGAAAAAAAGGCAGAATTTGTGTGTGTACTTTTTTGTAAGAGATTATCGTTCTTAGATATGATGTATGTTTTAAGGACACACTTTGTAGGGCATACATACATAACACATACTATCATCATCATCATGGAAGACATCTCCAAGCCTAGGCCTTGCCTTTTTTTCATTAAGTGTTGTTTGGATAAATGATTTATATAAACAACACTTGGGGAGATGGAAAGCAAAATTAAGGGCAATTTAGTCTTTTTCTTCCTGGGTTCTTTATTAAGAAGTTAATTTTTCATTAAGACATTAAGTTATAAAGAAACATCCTGTATATAGCCCCTATAAGATTAAGTGTTGTTCATATTATGTCCATTAAGTCACAAGGAATCTATGTATAGCTTATTGGATTAAGTTGGGTCCTTATTAAGTTAATTAAGTTAAAAAGTAACAACATATATTGGTAAGTACAACATGCTTTACACCCTAAACCAAATTATTCTGCTTTTGTTTTGTTTTGCTTTTCTATAGTTTTATAAGAAATGTCGTAAATGAGTAGTTAACTATTTGTTTTATTTCTGCTGGACACTATTGTTTTTAAAAATTACTATTTCAAGGTGAGCAACTTGAAAGCTTTGTTCATTAAATATTATATTATTTGAATGGTATTTTGTGAATAAAAACGTTCTTAGTGGCTTACCATAGTACATTTACAATGTTTTTTTTTTTGTTAAAAAAGTTGTTTGTTACCTGTTTATGACTTTAAACTGACATGCACTTGCCACCTGTGAAATGTGGACGAAGAATTGACATTTTCAAGGAAGGCGATCGGATCCTTTGTGGCTAGTTGGTGACTAAATGTATTGTTATTGATGATAAAATGTACCATTTTCTTCTTAATTTTATTGTATGTGTAAGTGGAAAACAAATTCAATGAGATTTTATTGTCCGACATTATTAATCAATTTGTGTATAATGAAAGTTGAATACTAATTGAATAACACAAATCTATTTCTTTTCTCCAACTAATTGACAGTGGATAAAACTTCAAGAATGGTCTGGTTGTAAATTGTCACTTTGATCCAAAAAGGTTTCGATTAGCATCAAATGTCTAAAGTTTTTATTTTGTTGCGAGTGTGGTCCAGTTTGTTTTGATTTTTTTATAAAATGATGATTTTGCCATTTATATTTATATTTTCTATTTTTTCTATTTACTTTAATATTTTTCTAATTAAAAAAAAAACAAAAAATAAATATTTATCCCCACCAATCTCTCTCTCCATCTTCACTGTCCATCGGAAATGAACAGACGGTTGGCACCACCCTTTTCGTCGAAACACCACCGGAGACTTGTTTATACCAATCTCTTCTACTGTTAGTGTTAGTGAACTGTTGTAAGCTTATGTTGGCAGAGGCAGACAAAGGTGTTCAAATGGTTTGTTGTGGCTCTGGCGATCTTGAGCTTCATCTTTCCCGAATTGAAGATAGAGGCTTCGACGACCTCAGGCTTCATCTTTTGCAATTTGAAGATGGCGGCGACCTTTCCAAAGGTACAAAATCGGAGCTAGGTTAGGGTTATCTATGAGAACGTCGTCAAAATAGAAGGATGAGTCATATAAGATTAACGAAGCTAGGTTTAGGGTCGTTGAAAAATTAAAATGTTGTCCCAACCATCCGCTGCTCTTAATCTCATCCAAATCGTCGTCAGAATCGAAAGAGAAAGATGAAGCGACATGCCGATCGTTACTACTGTACGTCGTTGTCAGAATCGATGTGTTGTCGCCGCATCTTCAAACTAGTGCTTGCTGGACTCCGGTGGTGGTGTTGATCCGTTCCGTTCGTTGGTTCTCAGTTTAGATATGTTCGCCTGAGAAGGTGACGTGAAGATGGTGTTGTTTGTCTAAAATTCGACGAAGGGTTTGCTGAGGAAGAGAGACCCTAGCAGTTGGTGGCGGTGTTCTGATTCTCCAGCGTCCAACAGTTGGTGGCGCCGCCTCTCCAAACTCGTTTTCCAGGTAGTGGTGGCGACGACATTCTGATTCTCCGACGATGGTGGCGGTTTCCGACAGTGGCACATGTGGTTTTTCGTGAACAGTAGAGAGAGAAAAAAGAGACACCGAAGATTGAAGGGTGTCTTGGGGGTGGGGTATAGTTTATTTTATATTTTCTCTTTTGTTTTATTTTTAATTAAGAAAACTGTAAAATAAATAAAAACAAATTAGAAAACCAAAATATGAAGTCCAAAATCATCATTTTATAAAAATTGAAAACGAAATTGGACTAAACTCACAACAAAATGAAAACTTTAGAGTTAATCCAAACATTTTTAGAACAAAATGACAATTTTTAACCACATAACCATTCTTATAGTTTTGTCGATGGTGATTTTTTTTGGACGAGTCCATGTGAATGGTGGTCAAAATAGTGAAGACATAAGAGGTGGGAAACTAAATTATTTTTATTTTTCTTGTTTGTTTTACATTAAAATGAAGAGAAAGGGAAAATATTGAATTTCATTTCCATCATTTTTATTCTGAAAAAGTGGGAAACAACACGAGAACGCATCCGAAAAATAGAAAAAAGAAACGGAGAATTTTGTGAAACAACCAAGCTCTCCACATCTCGATTCATAAACCTCACATTCAGTGATATGTTTTTTTATATCTGTCTTCAAAGATTATTTATCGATCAAGTAAATGACTAGCCAATCTTTAACACGTGGCTCAAATGAAGAGATCTTATGGATGATTAAGCAAAATATGTATACACCTGTAGAGCATGGAAAAGAGATTATGTGTAAAGTAGGAGTCAAAATGTTTATTATAAAAACCATTAATTTATATCTAAAGTATTTTTGTTAATGGCTAGTATAATCATCGTACGTTTTTTTTTTCTTAATACATCACTTGATTTTGTGTATTTGTTACAATATATACATATCTAGATTTTGAGAAAAACAAGGTTTTAGTAATATGCCGCCAAATTGAATTATGTCTCTAAAAATGAAGCTAGAGGTGCGACCATTCTCAAAAATACTCATTGAAACGACGGGAGGAGGGCTGGCCTTGATCTATCAATATAGGAAGAAAAAGGGTTTTGCTCCCCCTTACGATATAACAAGAAGAAAGAAATAACGAGTTTGAATTCCGCCACCTTTCTTGTGGATCATCCTGAAACCACAAAGATGATGGAAATAACAAAACATAAATTTTGAAATTAGCACGTCAATATATGAATTGTTTCATAAGGTTTGAAATTTTTTTGTCGGTTTTGTCTATATGACGATTTTTTTTGTTTGTTAATGTCCAAAATTTACAAAATTTATTTTTATTTTTCATTTTTTCCCTTGTTACCTTTAATAGTAGATTTATAGGTAAAATGTTACCATTAAATCAAATTTGTAAAAAATCCTTGACTTTGCAATTTTTTTACGTTTTTATCATATTATACATATTCATACAAAAAAACATATTTATACACAAATTTTTTTACTAAACATATAAATATGTTTTTTACACAAAAAAAAAAAAAACCACTTAGGATAAGAAATCAAAAGTTTTGTAAACTTAATTTTTTTTTTGGCAAACTTTGATTTAATAATAACATGAAACCTGTGTCATTACAGGTAACAAGAGCGAAAATGAAAAAAAAAACTTGACAAATTTTGGATATTAACGGATAAAAAACCGTCACAGAGACAAAATTTGTTAAACTTAAAGATTTTTGTATCAAAAGTCCTAGATTTATATATCTACAAGGTAAACGAACTATATTATTGTAACAAAACAATCACAATACATTATGTTGATTATTTTTTGAATAAAAAATAATATTAGCCGTTTGTTTTAACTCTTTGTCGAAAAACAATCAATGGTGCACAAGTAAATGAATTTTAATTATCGCTAATACTGCTTAATGTATAAGTCTTTAAATCTGCTCCCAACAAAAAAATGTAGACGTATGTATGATTTAACAGATTGGGATCGATATCCACATGTCATTTATATGCATTTATTTTTTGTTGGTAAAGGCTTGAAATAGATGGTTGACGAATGTATGGCAGACGAATGCTTGGACCGATGAGGCAATGTTGAGAGTAGGGACCCTCTAAACAAATATCAAATTTTGAAGGAGTGGGCTGTTCATATCACTTGTGGGGAACTTAAGTTAAAATGTCTATCTATTTAAATGTTTGTATTTAACTATTTATAAATTCAAAACTATTTTCGACAAACGTTACTTTGTAGTATGTTTTTTTGGCTTGGAACTTGATTCAAAAGTGTTATCATGAATATCAAGAAGACCTTTTTTAGTTGTCAGTGATAACGTGTGATTATGTGAATACATTTTGATTGTCTCTAGGATGTCAGATGTAAATGATATTATTTATCTTTTTTTTTAATTAAAAATACAAACATTAATGTGTTAACTATTTATACTTTGTTTGTATCTTTTACCTTTATTCAATGTTTAATTTTTTATAAAAAGACCATAGTAAATTGGTTGTATAATGTATATGGTAACATTGATTTTATTTGATTATAATCGGTTTTCATATTTGGCTTATAAACTTTTAGATTTATAAATGTATCAACATTTAGTTCGGGATATTTTTTCCTTAAAATGGTTGGTTGTTTGTTAAACTTTATCTATTAATTATTTCTTTGCTTTGTCTTTATTTGTGAACTAATTGTGTTATGATGTAAACTAACTTCAAGAACTATCTGTTATTGACTAATAGTTGTTTTGTATAAAATATTGGTCTGTCATGATTTTTTTAACCAAAATAAACATTTTTGTTTTGAAGTTTGGTTTCGGCCCCCTTACTTCTAGTATAATTGTTTCGCCCCTGCATGCGGCGTGGGGTTGTGAAGAGTCGTGTTTGTCTACGTGGAACAACAATCACGACGCCATAACGCATGGACACCACCACCCTTATGCCGTTAAGGGCTATGGCGTTGCCTCCCGTTGCTATGGTCACGATTAGTAACGACTTCAAAATGGAAGGAACGGTCAAATGACCGTTGGGAACAGTCACAAAAGATGTACAGAATATATATAGATATATATATATATATATATATATATATATATATATATATATATATATATATATATAAACCTATTTACTTTACATATAAATACACACATATACCCATTTTTTACCGACACCATTCTTCTCTTTCTTTCATTTTATATAAACATCAACCACATTTTCTTTCAAACGAGCTATGGACCAAAACCTGAACACCCCTCCACCAAATACAAACACATCCGTTTCGATAAGGTTCGCACAATAAGAGTTTTATGAACCTACTCGACACTCAAAACTCACCCCAAATACCATTTCAAGGAAAAAAAATTAATCCCGCTTCACCCCCAATGTAATTTCCTACATCGCCCTACATCCAACAAAATCCAAACCTTCAACAAAACCTTTTCAATACTTTCGCTTCCATGCCACAAAAAACCACACAACCAACGCAAGAAATAATTCCCAAAACGCAAGCGGGAGGTAGTAGGAAATGTAGAGAGAAAGAGAAAAAAAAAGCGATCGCGAAAAGTGAAGAAGAAGCTCCACTATGGTGGACACCAGAGGAGGAGTACAACTTGGCGGTGGCGTGGTGCGACACTTCAAAAAATCCAACTATAGGAAATGATATGAGGAGGATTGGATTTTGAGAAGCCATGCTCGGAAAATTTCATACAGTTATGAAGAGACCGACATATCGCAATGTGATATGCTTAGTGGCAAGTCGACTCCAATTAGTCGTAGGTGCACCAAGTTTAATGTGATCTACAATAAACTTTTTTCACAAAAGCAAAGCGGTGCAAATGATTTCGATGTGTTCAAAGCCGTGAGGGAGCAATATCAAGTCGAAATAGGTCACGTTTTCGAGTATGACAATATATGGGAGATTGTGAGAGTCAATCCAAAATGGCTTACAACTCCAACATCATCGGAGGTACAATCAAAGAGGTCTCTCAATTCGAGTTCGTTTGACGTTTCTGACGCACGAA